TGAAGCAGTCTTCCCTTGTGTTCTGAAGATTTTACCTAACTGCATTTTCAACAAAAAGGATCCGATCGTCTTGGGGGTTGATGTCCTTGAGGGCATTGCAAGGGTACAGCTTTTATCAGTTCATTCAGTTTATACATTCCAAAATAAGTATGCACAATTCAAGTTTGGCATCTAATGCTGATCATGGCATGAAGTTTAGAAAGTTTTTGGATAAGTGCCTGAACAATCTTTATACTCTTGAACCTGCATTCATGCTAGAGCGTTTACAAAGGCAAGAAGTAGTCAATTGTTAGATATGCTTGAGCACTTCTAGCATATAATTAACAGATCTGATGTTGCAACTGAGAACATGGATTGGCCCGAGGCAAATGTTTTTGTAGGAATAACCAAAATATTTACCAATTTAGGATGTAGATCTGATGTCTGCTTGACATAGCATGAAAATCTGATCCCAGATCGTACTTGTAATATGTTTTCTAATGGGCCTGGAAGCCATGACTCATAAACCATTCTTAGTTGTTAAGTATATTTGCATGGTTTGCCTCGGTATATCCTACAAAATTGTGAATTCGAGTATGAACTTACTGTTCTAAACAAGCAGAATTTCAAGAATGATTTGTGATGTGAGCTTTTGGTTGATACATTAATGTTATTATAATTTTTAATCTATTGTGTTTATGCTTTGTGGTTTTTTGATACCATCCTTCTTGTGCAGGTTGGCACTCCTATTTGTATTCCTCAAAGGGAATTCATTGATATTGGCCGAATAGCTTCAGTTGAAAATAACCATAAACCTGTTGATGTTGCCAAGAAAGGCCAGAAAGTGGCCATTAAGGTATGATATTTGCCTTTTAATATTTTATTTACCTTTTAATAGAATCACAATTGTTAAATCGAGATATGTACCGTGTATCAAAATTTTATTTTTTAGTATTGAGTATCGTATCTTAAAAATACATAAAAAATTTTAAAATTAATTATAAATAACATTTATATATATAAAATAAAGAAAAAAATTTGAAAATTATTATATTTTTTAACAGAAATGAAGATTATAAGGCCTAAATGGAAGGGATAATTATTTTTTTAATTTCAACTTTCGACATATTCTTTAATAATATAGATTTTTAAATAAAATATACATTTTATCATATTAATTGATTTATTAAAAATTAAAAAACATTTATCATGTTAAAATTCAAAGGGAATTTAACAATTTTTAGTATTTTTTTTGTTTAAAATCTAAAAATTGAAACTCATGAAATATAATTTTTCATGTTTCAACTAAAAAAAAAATAAAAAAATAAAAATTTTTAATAATGAATTAAAGATTAGCTTATAAAAAGTGTATTGACTGTATTGTACGACATACCTCTGTATCATAAGATGCATATTGCGCATCATATAATATGTTTCGATACTTGATCAAATGCGATATAATTATAGATACGTATCATTTTTTACTACTTTTATGTCATACGATATGTATCACGTATCATACGATAATGATAACTATGAATAGAATTGATTTCCTAATCTTCAATTAATGAGTGGATATGAGAACATCAAGATGCAACAGATTTATGCCCTTTGGTATAAACAATGGATACTGTCTGTGGTTTTACCTCTCTTAGTATAAAGGAAATGATGCCATAAAATCCTAATAACATTGTAATATTTATTCAAGATTTTTATTTTCTAAAACTTTCTCAGTTATTTCATTCTGGTTTGGAGGAAAATCTCCTTCCTGAGTTTGAATTGAGCTGGCCTCAACCAGTTGGAGACCACCTAGTTTCCATTCTTCCTTTAGCTTTTAAATAATTGACACATCAAGATTATGTTTAATTCGTACAATATATAAATCTTTCACAGTCAACAAGCTTGTGTGTCTTTTTCCTTTTTCATTGAAATCTTGAGAATCATTTTATAGCACACACCAGTGCAAACATGTCTTTGATGTTAGACTACTTCAAAAAGTTGAACTGCATTCCTGTGTTTGCACACCAATACGATGGACTTCATAAATTATGGTGAATCCTACTCCATGGAAATTTTAGTTGTTCTTCTTTGATAGTATCTTCTGGCATGTTAGGGATCCATGAGGCTTCTAGGGTTTAGCTTTTTACAACTCTATAGATATCTAAGTTATTGAGAAATCAATAATAGTTTCTCTTAATCAATTTAACCTTTGTAGTTGGCTTTGGTGCGAAATCATGAACTTTTTTCAATTAACTTTGACACCAGCTGATGTTGGGAGGGTTATGAAACGGCATCATATTTTAGTTTGTCATTAAGCTAATTTTCTTAGGGGGAATTTACAGAGTAACACTTTTTGGCACACGATCAAGCTAACCCTTAGAACTTGAAAAGCCAAAGGCTAATTATTACCGATAATAGAGTTTAATTTAATAATCTTATAACATCTATTTCTATGGATATGAGACACAAGAACCTAACAACATCTAATTATAACACTTAGATATTTCTAATCCTAGCGGTAAATGTGGTCATTAGTAAAATAATTACAATGTTAGAATATTTGTTCCTTGTTTTCTCCCCTGCAAGGTGAACATCAATAGTTTGAAACGACTCTTGTGTGCTGATGCAACTGATTCGCAAAATGATGTAAAATATCAACAACAAATGTTAGCTAACATAGTTTCAATGAAGCATATATCATAGCCTAGAAGGCCTTTCAAGCTCGTAATCGTGGTTAATACAAGCAAAGTCAGTCTTTTGTCCCACAATTTTGATTCTTTCAAAAGTTACCTCATGCAGCTCATGGCTACTTACCTTAAAGCAATACTGCAGTACACTACTTCTCAGATAATTCCAAATGTCTTGGGGAATTTGAGAAAAAAAAAAAAATCTCATTGTTAGTCATGTGCAGAATTACGTATGAATTTTTTTAAACCCTCAAAGTAATTTCTTTATTTAAATGATGTTTTTTCATCAATCCTCTGAGCCCCTCAAATTCAAGACTTGCAGGGTACACGAGGATAGGATAAAAGAAGATCAGAAAAATTTTGGTTTTTCTAGTCCTGAGACTTATCAACAGTTATACCAAGATGACAACTGCCTCAGCTTGGTCTTATTGAGTGCTTTTTGTTTGTTTTGTTGCAGATAGTTGGATCCAATCCTGAGGAGCAGCAGAAAATGTATGGGAGGCATTTTGAGCTTGATGATGAGCTTGTTAGTCACATTTCTAGGAGGTCAATTGATGTTCTCAAAGCTAATTATAGGGTGAGTTGCACATTGGGCTACTTGTTATCAGTGTTCTTTTTCCCCTATTATTATTGTTTTTATGGCTGGATTTATTAGCTTTAGATTTTCTAATTAACTTTTCAAATTCTTTAGGATGATCTGACCCTTGAGGAGTGGAGGCTGGTTCAGAGACTGAAGATCCTTTTCAAAATACCATGAGCATGATTGAATAGATTCGAGCTGTTGCTTTTCTAAACAGTGATTCCAAGGGGCCGTCAGTTGTAAATATCCAATCCAAGGTTTGGCTTGAGAGAAAGGATCGATGCTGAAAATACTAGAGTGAAACAATTTTGATGTCAATTTTACGAATGGGGGGGAAATCCCACTTAAAGTTTTGAATGAGGAAAGCCGATATAAAGCGCACTGCAGGGAATGGTCATTGTAAGTTTTCGATCCCCGATCCTTATGTGCCTGCAGTGGTGTGGGGGGTGCTACATCTTCCAGCACTCGTATAGTTCAAAGCAGATTGTAAAAAAATCTACAAATATCCCAAACTTACCTGGTGCTCTTCCTTGATAAAAATTTTTGACTGATATGTATGAGACAAGTAATAAAGGAAACATTCATTTGTTTTTGTTGGTTTTTCAGTTACAACATATAGAAATGATTGCATGAGAAATTACCTAGCTCTTCAAAGAATCTTACAGTGTATGACATCATTTTCCAATGTTCTGGCATTTGTGCATTTCTGCCAAGACTAGGTAAGGTTTATAAGGTTTATTAGCTTTTATATATATATATATATATAAAGAAATTGTGAAAAATGACTTCTGTAATAAAGTCACTTCAATATAAATATTAAAGAATGTTCTTTTTATCAATTTTATTTTATTTTAATTCAAACAATTTATTATTATTATTAACGATTGAGTATATTATAGATGTTGATGTGAAATATTGGCAAGATTATGTAATAATTTTTACTTATTATATAATATAAAAAATTTTATTTAATTAAAATAAAAATATGTGAATTTAATTGTATTAATAAAAAAATAAAAATTTTATTTTAATTTTTTTTAACTAATTAAGATATACTATTTGTTTTTGTATCATTTAAAAAAATAATGATTTATCATTAAACATATTAGTATAATAGTGCATAATCATATATAAAAATATAATCATGCAATTTAACTTAAATAAGTTATCTTACTTTCACTATATGTAAAAAAAAAAAAGTTATTGAAAAATAAAATATCTAGTAAAAATATAATGTTAAGTATAATAAAATAATACATAATCATTCGAAATAAGGTGAGATAATTAAATTACAAAAAGTTGATGATGCAAATGACCTATTCAAATTCAATTTAATTTGCTTTTCAAAAAAAAAAAAAACCCTATAAACCCTTAATGATCCCAACATGACGTGAATTTTCAATCATTCCCAGCCCAAATTCGACCGACTCAGCTGCCGCTTGTAGACTCACAACGCACATCCCAACCTTTCCCTCTCGTTTCAGTCCCTGGTAGTTCCCAGGCATGGTGTAAAGGAAGTAGAAAAGAATACGTAAGAGGATAAAAGATGGAAGAAGAGACAGTGGAAAGGAAGAAGTTGGGATGTTACGCGGGGAAGGTGACAGTGTTGGAATGGGAGACAGAATCAGGGGCTGCGGAGGAGACGATGCTGCTTTGGGGAATCCAACAGCCTACTCTCTCCAAACAAAACGCTTTCGTTTCCCAGTCTTCTCTCCAACTCCGCCTTGACGCTTGCGGCTACTCTCTCTCCATTCTCCAGTCTCCTTCTTCCTTGGTAGTTTCTACCCTTTTCTATTCTCCTTCTTCTTGATAAATATAACCTGTTTTATTCAAACTCTAGAAATTTGGGTAAAGAAAATTGAAAAAAGATAGTTCCAATGGTTAGACTGAGGTTGCAGCCGAATTCAGCAGCTAAAGCTCAATGCTGCTTGTCGGAAATTTGTATAACCCCTAGCTTTTGCATCAAGGATTTTAAGAAATAAAATGTTATATTGGTATATTGGTATGTCACATACTCAAAACTGTTAAACTACTCTTGCCATTATCAATAAAAGGGTACCTTCCCTTAACTTGATCCATACCAATCCAAGCTCATACATTGGAATGATTCAACTCAGCTAAGCTTGTATACACTCTCATGTCTCAAAGTTGGACTACCGTGACCCTTTCCGTTTGTGTGTAAATGATAAATTTGGTATGGTTTTAAGGAGACTCCATATTAGGCATCTAATGTGGTTGAAATGTAGCATATAATACAATATTTACGAATCCATGTTTGTTAGAAATGATGATAACAAGTGCTAGTGTCTTTTGTCAATGACATTTTGCTTGATCAGATTTTTTCTGTAGGTGGCTGCTGTTTTACGTTTTCCTTTAGTAGTGTTGAACTCAAAAGCTTCTTCATTTGGTGTATAAATATATTAGCACAAAACGAAATGCATTAAGTGAAAGGTTGATCTGGGATTTTCTGGCTTGGTGGCTTGTCTTACAAGTTTTTCTTAAATAATTTCTCCTTCTCTGCATGTCTACTTTAGGGAATGCTGCAGTGGTATGATTTCAAGTTAATCAGAGATGTCATAAAACAATCTGTCACTTTGCTTTCCCCTTTCCTAAGTTGTTAAAAAAGAAACTGGAAGACATTTGGACATTTTAAATGTTTTTTTTTTCCAATAAATTGTGTCAAATCATTCTTACTATCATCAGTTTTTTCTTAAATTCTTTTAATTACTATTTTGACAGGGCAAACCTGGAGTAACTGGAGCAGTGATGTGGGATAGTGGAGTTGTATTAGGGAAGTTTCTGGAGCATGCTGTGGACTTGGGGATGCTTGTTCTTCAAGGCAAGAAGGTCATCGAATTGGGCTCTGGCTGTGGATTAGTTGGGTAGTGTTAATAACTTCCTCAACCTAAACTTGTGTTTATTTTATTTCGTGTATGCTAGTCTGTTAGTGAACTCTTTCAAGGATGCTGTGGCTCGAGAACATTGAAACTACTGAATATGTGAAACTCATTCATGAGACTCATATCTCCATGCTGTTTCGCTTGACAGAATTTTAGCTGTCATGACATATCTCTAATGCTGTTTGGCTTATAGCAACAGAAATTTAATCCCCTTGAATTGTGTTCAGATTCTTCACATGGATGTCGTAGTTTTAGTTTCTATTTAAAATTAATTATAAAGCTATTTCTGGATATAATTGCTTTTCTTACTTGAAGTATGTTATTCTTGTTTTGTGTTTCCAGTTGCATTGCAGCTCTTCTAGGTTCTCAAGTTGTCCTCACTGATCTGCCTGATAGACTGAGGCTGCTAAAAAAGAATGTTGAAACCAACTTAAGACATGGAGTGCGGGGTTCTGCTGCTGTAAAGGAGCTCACTTGGGGAGATGACCCTGACCATGATTTGATTGAACCTCCACCTGATTATGGTAATAAGATTCCCTTCTTTCTTCCTAATTGTAAGCATTAATGCTGTCAGACAACTGTTTAGTTTGATAACAAAAAAAGTGGATGCTGAGGTTCTTTTCCATGATTATGGAGTAAAAGAATGGATTTGCTGGCGGTAGTGGAGTATTCGAGACATACTTTGTTTGGCCAAGTTCAAGTATCGTATTTATTATCATCCCCACTTTCATCATGTGAGCAAATGCCCACAAGCCTGTAAACTTGGACTTGTTTCAACCCCAACTATGGCTGATGATATTGATCTTATAAACTGTAGATACAAACTTCTCAAAAAAAAATTGTAGATACGAAGCAAGCAATGAAATTATATGAAACTAAAACTTCTCTTATGGCACAAATATTGTGTTCTTTTCTATGTATGTTTGTCTTAAGTTGTGAAAATCCAATGTTATGGGCCACTTCTAATTAATTGTGGTATCAAATATGGCCTCAGCACTTCAGGTCAATCCTACCGCCTGATAAGCTTGGTATGTACACTTATGAAGAACACCACTTGATAGGCTCATTGCCCCACATCTGAGGCAATACATTTGTTTTTGCCCAAATAATTTCTTTGAATGCCTATGTGGAGCACATGAATTAAAGACTTTCCTTGGGTGGCTGTTTGAATTTTTTTTGATTTGGTTGTTAACTTTTTTTAATTTAACCTAATATTTATGAAGGTATGTGTAATATTAGTGCTTGGTTGTTTTAGGAGTTATTAAGCAACAAATAAAAGATTATTACTAACCAAACTTGGCATGCACTAGCCAAATGGCTTTAGATTTGTCATAACACAAAGTGATTGACACTTAGCCGAAATTTTTTTGTTTTCTTAACTGAATTCAAATTCAAGCATGACAAAATTTGATTCTCTTGACTGAATTCTATGTAGAGTTGTATAGGCATTGATATTTGATCTATGTGACAACTTACTAGCTTTTTGTTTTTTATCATCACATGAGATGCTTGTTACCCTCTTCCTTTATTATTTGTGTAACTTAGACAAAATCATGGCTGTTGAATTTGTCATTTGGCCAAAATCCTTAACCTAATTTTATTTAGATAATATCATGGCTAATTAAAATGAGGATAAAGTAAAACATCTTTCCAAATTCCTTTGTCAGTTGAAATGAAGTTTGGGGGCGTTGTTGATACCTCATTTTAATATTTTACTGGAATAATTTGTAAAAGATAAATTTGATGATAAGGGGACTCATTGTAAGATAGTGGAAGACAAAATATTTCTAATGTGGCAAAGTCATCTCATGCAAGTACATTCCAAGGGACAAGTGGCAAGCTTTAATTAGTTTTAGGATTGAAGTAGTTATTTTGAATTTGAATGGGCTTTATAAGCCAAAAGTTTGTACTCATGTAAAGGTCATGGACCAAAATGAATGGAAACTCTTTATCTTTTTAATGTTACTTTAGAGTATCCATTTTGCTTTTTTCTTAGGAGTAGTGGTAACTTAATTTTTTAGGAGTAGTTTTAATCTAGTTTGAATAACAACACCCCTACCTAGTACACAGTATTAGGAGGTGGAACCTTGGGAGGAGACACTTTTTCTTCCTCCGGTTGTCTGATCTTTGGCGCATCATCTTGTGTTGATTTTTCATCACCAATAGGAGCCCTCTTGGGAAATCTCTTGTAGAATTTTTCCCTGTGGACCTCCAAAGGCTCTATTACTTAGCTGATCAAGCTCATGCTGAATTTTTAGTTTGATAACAGAAGGGAGTGTGGTGAAGTCATCAGGACGTGCTTTGTTAGGCAGAGTTCCATATGTTACTTATTCTCACTTGCTTTTGCATGCCAGCCAAGGTTGATAGGCCTAAAAGTTGGAATGGTTTGGCCAATTATTGTAAAGGGTCTAGGGGAACTTAATTGATGCTACCTTTAAGAACCAAAGATATCTGTCACTTTGGATCATAAACAAATAAATAGAGAATTTCATTGCCAACTGACAATGGCTGAGACATTGAAATTTTAATTTTTGTTAGAGTCACAGTGCTGAATTCCTTTCATAAACATTAGGAGTGATACCCTATATGTTTTGTCAAATTTAATCTTTTCTTTATTGATAAGTTTCATATGCTGGCTTTTTAGTGCTAGGGTCAGATGTGATCTATAGTGAAGGAGCAGTTGTGGATTTATTGGACACCCTTCTACATCTATGTGGGACACAAACAACAGTATTTTTGTCTGGAGAACTTCGAAATGGTGAGGATCTCTCTCGCATACACACACACAGATGCTCACATACAATTCTCAATCTGATTGGGTGTTCTTGATACTTTGAGTGTAGATGCTGTCCTTGAATGCTTTTTAGAAGCTGCAGTGAAAGACTTTGTGGTTGGGCGTGTTGATCAGTCACAGTGGCATCCAGAATATTGTAGTCGCAGGGTTGTGATGTACATCCTGGTGAAGAAATGAGGTTAGATAAAACGTTTACTTCCTACTGTTAGCGGATAATAGTTGGATATTCATTCAGCGAAGAGAATATATTTGCATAGCCTGAAATACCATCTGTCAGATATAGATAAGAATTAACGTATTCTCATGTGCTTAATGCTGCTTGGCTATAGGTGTTAGATAGTTGAAAATTTTTCTTTGGATTAGGCCCTATGGCATCTTTTGTATTTTCCTTTTATTTAAAGTTGCTTATGTAATCCCTTTTAATTGATTATTATACATTCAGATAAAAGGCCGTTTATTTCTCAATCATTCTACTTTATTCTTTTTGATTCCCGAAGAAAGTTTCTAAGCTATATGACTATTGGCGAATTTGTCATGATGTTTTGATGTTTTCTGACAGCTTATTTGAAAATGTTTAATAAAACATTTGTCCACCACATTAGCATTCCTAAGGGACTATAGTCTCGTATAAGAGAAAATGTTTAACAAAATAGTTATGCCACATCAACTTGTATCACCTTTCACTCATTTAATAACGCTGTATCATTACCTTTCACGTCATTAATTTGATGCATCTCTAGCTGGAATTTTCCACAATAATTTCTTTAGATACTCAAGAAAACCACTAAAATACTCAACACTTTAAATTCCTACTAGCTAGTTGGGTTGGGGTCTTTCCAGAATTCTGTTGTGTTTTGTTGAAAAACAATACCCTAAAGGGCTAGAATCAGTTTGTTTTGCTCTTGGAGTCATGTTTATAAGAAAACCTCACAAAACTAAATGAAGTGTTGAACAAGTTAGTGCTCTATGGGTTTTATTGTTTCATGGTCACTGCTTATTATAGATGAAGAAATTCAAGGGGCCATCCAGTGGAAAATGGGCAAGTTTGAAATGTGTAGCCTAGACCCTTATGAAAACTTGTGGACCCCTTACAATATATGCAGTACAAATGAAGATTTGAGGGAAAAACACAGGGGGCCTAGCTAATCCATGAGGCTGAGTGTTTCCCCAACACTTTATTCTGATCCTTATGAAGCAAAAAAGGAACTCACAAACACTCAAGAATGAGTTTAACAGATAAAAAGGTCTTTGTTTAGCTCTGAAAAGGGGTAGTCAAAAAGTACCAAAACTTTGCCTTCACTATGAATCAAATTCTTGTATAATGTGGACGCACCTATTACCCATTGTAAGCAGCTTTTAAATAATGCTACCCTAACTGGAATCGAGGAAAGTTACAGGTGCTGAGTTGCGGATACCAAGAGACAGGTCTGGCCAAAAAGATAATAAAGACGAAAAAAGATGAGAATTAGTTACAGGCAGCAGCCGGCTTTCTTCTTCACGATACGAGGCTAGCCATGAATGAACAGTTGCGTGATCTGTGCTGTGCTTGCTTCATATTCCAAGAAACGTCAGACCCCGTATATTTACGTTGGCTTTTACCCAAGGAAAAGGAGAAGAGAGGTGCCATTGGTGTCCAAGGATGGTAAGTGATTGTTCAACGACTTGAAAAGCAGCATATTTTTATACTCTCTCTGCCCACCTCATCTGTTGTGTGCAGGTGTTGGTGGATGATTGTAGAACATGTTACGTAGGATATCCCCAGATACTTGCTGCCATGTTTTCTTCTCGTTAAGTGTTTTTTCGTTCACGAATTCTCAAGGCATCTTTTGATTTTGGACAAACCGAGATGACAACACGTCCTGGCCTCGTCTCGTTTTTTGCTTCCACAAATATTATTACAAAATCCAAGTATGGCCAGCTAGCTTCATTCTTTTAATTTCGTGTTCAATGTCGGATTTGCTGAGTTTATAATTCACACAAGAAATAAAATATTTAATAATCTTTTTAAACTAATCCATATGTAGTTAAAGCCACAAAAAACTTTTTATTATTAATAACTCTTTAAGGTACTACTTATAACAATGTTTTTGTTTTAAATATAGTGGTTGATCATTGATATGATAAAGTCTAATATATTAGAAAACAAAATATTACTTAACCCTATTAATTCAAAAAACAAATTAAATACATTTAAACTTTCTTCAATATCTTCAAGAACGCAAGTCAGCAGAGAAGAAATGCATTATTATTTACCTGATCATTTGATTTAAATGCCAAAAGGTTAGGGAAAAGAAAAAGGGAGAAATTTAGTACATTTAAAGGTAAAAATATAGAAGCAATTGGCGTTTGTGAATCTAATTTTGAGTTATTCCATGCAAAAACAACAAAGTTTACAACTGAGAGTAACTGGAAGAAAAAATTGCCTATATTTAATCACATAAATGATATACATATATATATATATATATATATACACACACATACGTATAAAATTTGAAATATTTTTCTGAAAATATCAAAAAATCGATTGATTATATATAAGATAAGTTAAGATATTACTTTTTTATCTACGTGAACTATCTTTCTCTTCTCTTTAATGATTTTAATTAAATTATATGATATACTTTTAGTTTTCAAAGTTATGTATAGTTACAAGCTTTAAAAACTGAGTAAAAGTCAAAATCAATGACATTTTAATTAAATGTATAGAAAATGGTTCCATTTATAAGTTTCAAATTACAAAACCTCATTGGGTGAACTGTGCACTATTGCTTTTGAGGCAATTGGTCGCATGGGAAATTCAACTTGTTGCTTATTAAGGTGATGGGGAAAGTGAAACAAAGGTTGGATTTGAAATGGGTTGAGGATAGTCTTAAGTAATCATTCACCATGAATGCATCTCTTTGCCAACTTGAACCAAGAGATATTACTGGAAAATGTTTTAAAGTCTAATCTATAGCCTCTGTGATAGAACCATTGAATAAGAAACATCCCAGACTTTCACGTTAATGCTCCAAAGTTTGGGTCCAATGCTTGACCTGGCTCCAATTGCTACACAACTTCAAATAACATATGGAACTAGCTATATATAGGGAGACAATCATGCTTAAGTAAGTACATACTTAACGTGTTAAACACGCTTAACCAAAAAGAAAAAAGAAAAGAAAAAGTAAATACATACTTCTATTAAAAAAATGGTGAACATATTAGACATTGAGCTGAAATGATATTAAAGAGAAGGAAGAAAAAGAACATGCCATTATCGTAGCAATAAAACATATCACAGGGGAGGTAAGGGAGAAGCAGAATGTTGAAATATGATATATGGACAATTTAGTATGTAGCGCCTATGAAGAAACCAGCTAGCCTCAGCAAGAATATGAAATGAGAAGGTAATTTTTGAAAAGGCTGGTTTTGGAGAATGAAACCCTGGGCTGAGAATCATGCATGTTATGATTATTCATAGTTTCATAATGAAAACCATTCACCTAGATGACCTCAAGCCAGACAGTATGCTTTTTTGTTCTCAATCGATCTGAAGTAATCGAGCAACAAGAAGGAAGGAGCATTAACGTATGGAGTGCGTATATATGTTTTGAGAGGAATGAAGCCTGGTCCGAAGCCTCGACTCTTGAGAGTTTCAAAAGTTTATATTTGCCAAAGCCTCGAGCCAGCCAACATTCCCCTCAAAAGCTAGCAATACATCCATCCATCTCTCTTTACCTTTGCTTCCTTTCAGTTTCACTCTGTAAAATCCCTAACCCACATGCACCCCCTATTTATATGCATTCACTCCCAGCTCGCTATTGTGCGTCCATGTGCCCTTTTTTTTGTTTCTAATGATAAATTTATCAACTTTCAAAAAGAAAAAACACTAAAGACATCCCACTGACCAAGACAATTGCTATAGGTGATGGTACCTAGTGTAAAATTATGCATCCATTATTCACTGCTCTTAGCTGGTGCTGGCAGTGAACCGCTACCTGCAGCAGTTGCTTTGCGTCCCTAAAGTCAAACAACCCAACATCTACTTCAATGCTGCAAGTCACATACAACAAGACAAAATGGGAGTTTGTTGTCTTTTGAGAATATGACGCCACCCAGACGGGCTTTTGCATCACCTACTTTCCAACTCTCTTTGCTTTTTGTACACTACTCTTTAAAATATATGAATGATGCGAATAAATTTATAAGATTTATCAGATAAATTTGTGCATGTGATCTTGATTTCTTTCAAAGTCAGAAACTTAGAATAATTATATTCCATAAGGTATCAATGGGTTCTCTTTGAAGGTTACAAAGAACAAAAAGTTAAGCAACATAACATTAGAGTAAAAGAACAACATAACGATGGAGTTACACATTTGGAGAGAGAGATTTCATCTTGGTCCATCAACTATAATGCAACCACGTATACGGGAACCTCATCCTTTCTATAACTTGATCTTTTATTGAATATATAATATATGTTATACACACTGTTTTACATGCTGAAAGTATTAAGATTTCCATCCACTGCATTAAGTGTGTCATTCTTCTAGAGTGGACAAGTATAAACAGGTACGTATAGTTGACTTGTTAAATGACAACATATTGCTGTTTACATTATAAAAGAATCAGCAGATAGACGAAAGAATGCAACCCATCAGTCTGCGCACCAAAAAAATATATAAAAAAGCACATCTCACGTGCTAAACTTAAAGCCGAAGCTTACATGTATTCAAGTATGGCACCAGTATGATTGAATCCGCATGATATCTGCAACGCTTTAACATTTTCCCCAAAGTGGACCATTGTAGGTTTTATGTAATCTACATCACTTCCATGGCCCTGTACAAAGAGCATTCAGCAAAGATTTCATCCATTTACATTCAATCCTGACTGCCAGTCATACAAACAAAAACAATATGATAAAGATGAGCTGCACAAACTGTACAATCAAGGCAATCATAATGCATCATAAAAATGTTTGTCTGCCGAAAATAACTACATCAAATTTTTTATATTCAGTCACACCAGGGAAAAAAATGGGTAAAAGGAAAATCTGGCATCATCTGCCTGGCTGCATCAAATTTGATGCGAATCCCAACCCATGCCGACATGGGTACTCAACCAAAAATGGAAACAAAAGTAGGAACAACTCCATTTATATTCTTCTGGTATGTGTTACAGAACCATAACACAACTAAGAACAATGAAGCTTTAGTTGTCCTAGTGCCTTCATACAGAATCACACTACAAGAATAATGAGAATAATTGATTTAACTAATACTTCTTGGATCAATGCAAAATGAGCAATAGTAGAATGTTAATAATACAAGAGGAGATAGAAGCAAACCAGTTGTCCACCAGAAGAATGCCCATCTTCAGAAAATGTTCCATCAGAACCTCCCCAACCCCATGTGAAGACCTCGCCATCTGAACATGAATACCAAATGCACATTTCTCACACTAACCAATTGCAGAGAATATTTAAGCATTTAACCATTTGTACTGTAAGAAAAAATCACTACAGTAAGCTCAAGTATACTGTACAGGTTGCTTTTGGCTCGTTAGTTTATGATTCTTTAAGCTAAAGCAGCACCTTCTATTGATTTTTTGCTTTCTCAAGATTTAAGTGTCCAGGGGCATTTTTTAAAATTCTTAGTAGGAGTGCTGGAAACTGCAGATGTTGAGTCCTGGAATATTATATTATGTCTTCTTATGTAATTAATTTTTCTTTGCCAGTTAGTTTCCTATTCAAGGCCTAAGACTTTTTTGAAGTTCCTATGTGACTAGAAATTAATATTGAGCTAACTCTTCTCCAAATTTTTTATTTTGAAATGTCTAACCAATGCCAAACATATAATAACAGATATAAATATATAAATTAAAAAAAAACTGAAGTCATTAGAAGCTTATCTCTGTTTCTGTATTAATAATTCTAAGGAGAGATAGACATGAAAGTATCATTTATTTAGTTTGTGATTCCACATTAAGTTCTTACCTGAAATTGCTGCTGTATGCTTCCAACCACAAGAGACCTGTGGATGCCCATTTGTCAGAAAACGTAAAGTTTGAAGCATATGCAAGAATGTAACCATAAGATCCAGGCATCAGCACAGGGAGCTTGGAGCGTTGTTGCTTTTGTGACTATTTTTTTCATCTTTTTGCTTCACTCTCATCTGCCTTTCTTCCAATTGAGAATGAAGAGCAACAGAATCAATTGATTTAAATAACATTACCCCTGGTTCTATTATGATTGACCAAATCTGACTGATATAGCAATGAGACAGTTTCAATGTTCAACCAAACAGAAGCACAAACCTTGCAAACAGGAGATTTCAGAAAAGGACCTTGAACTCTTTCTGGTAAATGAAAAGCATCTGTAGAACTGCCGAAACAAAAGATAGACCAATTTTAAAGATATCAGAACAATTCAAAATGTAAAATTCAAGAAGATGAAAAATCAATTTCTCAAGCTAAGATTTCAAAATGAAGTCTCAATTGGAATACCCGATACCAAGGCAACCATTCTCATTTGAGCCCCAAGTGTAAAGTTCCCCACCTCCTATGAAAAAAATGATAAGAAGAAACAAAACTCGGATTAGATTTAGACACATAATTGCAAGCACAAAAGAATTTTTTACTCGCTAAAGAATGGACAGGATGGGTAGATGAGGAGCAAAAGAGGAAATACAGCACTAAACTTTTCGCTAATTTCTTTCCCCTACCGGAAATATTAAATATATCAAATTTCAGGACGCTTCGCACATCACTTATAAATCATCTGAAATATATAAATTTGGCACATAGATCTCAAATAAAAAAAATAGAAACATTTCTTAGTACAAAACACTTAAATGAGCTACAACATAATGGACAAAGCTAGGATAGCATACAGTTGTAACTCTGGTCAGTGCAAGGAAAGCCAATCCCATTTCAACATCAATAGGTTAAAGATTAAAATCGGTCCTCCAAGTTATATTGATGTTTCCTTAAAAAAGGGGCAACAAAACTTCTCTAAGACAACTTGCTCTCACACCCGTAGCCACTCTATCACGATCCAGGTTTGAAGGTTATTAATTTTACTTTTGGTGCAGCACGAGAGTGAGATATGGAGTAGGGAAAGAGGGAAAAGAAAGAAGTAAAAAGAAAGAAGACAGAGCAGAGGTTAAAGGACGAAACAAAGGGAGAAAACACTTACTAATTTCCAATACTCCAAAAGCTATCCCAACTCAATAGTATTTACAAACTACCCTCTAACCCCAATAGTTAGTAAGAAAGCAACAATATTTTATACAAGTAACTTAAACTGTTTAAAAGTAAAAGAAAATAATTAGATATAAAAATGACAGTTGAGACCATAAAATATACAAAAAACAATAACATTAACACCTAAGTAGTGTATATCCTCCACATATATCACACTCCCCATGTTCGAGAAAAATCAACTTCCAATGAAGTGTTGTAGTCAAGGCAATCTCGAGTTCAAGAATAGTTTATTTGATGATGAAAGATTTGACACATGATTCAACTTCATCTTTTCCTTGAAACCATCAAGATTGATAACAAGCGATCGTTCTTGTCTTCCACATTGTCAAATTGGTTAGGAATAATAAAATCATTTGATTAAGCCATAAGGACAACGATTGCTATTGGTGTGAAGCTTAGGGCTTTCTTTCTTAATTTCTTCAGGTACTAAATGAAAGTTAATTTTTCCCATATGAAAAATAAAAGAGGGTTAATTGAGAAACAGCATGTCAAAAAAGCAACTGCAGCTAGAACAAAAATATTAAGATTGGTGGGAAATTTGACCTAATAGTTAGAATAAGAAACAAAGCAACTAGTAGGAAGGTAAAACGTTGCATCAATTAAGGATAGATTGTGAGAAAGATGACTTCAAGATTTTAGGTGTAGATAATATAAAGATAGGACTGCAATGGTGAAGAAGCTGTACAAAAGGCATGAAACATCTTTATACAATAGGACTCCTTTTTATTACCAGCTGATGGACACCTCCAATCTATTATCTCCTTTATGCCATTTATCCTAAATAAAAACAAGCAAAAATATATAATAGTGAAGATAGAGAATTACTTGTTACAACACACGTGTGGTAGCCACCACATGCCACTGCTTCTGAATATGGCAATGCGCTGATCATGGATGGCATTGTTGCATTCTTGGCCCCTCCAAAGCCCTAAAATATTTCATTAAGAGAACATCACACACAAGATGCCATATGATCAGAATCATGAACTGCGACGTTTAAAACTTGCACCATTTTTAGTACTTACAAGATCAGTTACCACTTTCTCGCCAAATATGAATAAAGACCCATTTTCTGCAATACCTAGACAAATTAAAGATCTAAAAACAAAAGTTTGGAATATGTCCAGGAATGAGGTCATAGAAAAAGATTAACCATAAAAGGAATCATTTCAAATTACCATCAATGCATGCTGAATGCAGCAACCCAGCTGCAACTCTTGTAACCTAACACAAGAATCAATAATGAACCCAAATAACCATAATAAGTGATGAGAAATTGACACATCCATCTCAATGATAGTTACACAATAAAAAGTTCAAAGTTAACAAATACAAATTACCTTGATACCCTCTAATTTCTTTATAAGCCTCGGTGTATATTCACTGCAAAAAACATAAATAAATCTATGTATATACTTAAAATATTACTGTGAGAAAACAGAGAGCTCAAGATGAAAGCAGAACAGAAAAAAAAAACTATAAAAATCCAATTTCCAAAAGAACAACAAAAAGAAAACAAAAACACGAAAAAAGAGGGAAAAGGAAAAAAATAAAAAAAATACAAAAAAAGAAAGAAAAGGAAAAAGAAACACACAGTAAGCTATATCAAGGCAGAAGAAAAATAATGTGGCTGTGTCCATATCAAACACCAATACAACATAACACTCCTTGGAGACATCTCATTCTCATATACTCAAAGTTTCCACACATTGGCCACAACGCAAGCAACTTGAGACGTTGCAAAAGCCCACGTGTTTTTCCTTCTTATATTTTCACTAAGTCGTCTCAAATTTTAATATGTTTGTCATAGCCCCACAAAAACATGTTCTTGTCTCTGTCTATCTACAAGAGAAGAGCAGCAGTACTCAAATCTCCAACTGATTAAACAGGTGATATGCAATCTAAAATGGTTGCATAGGCCTTTGTAACAACAACCATTCACCAATATTTATTTCTGTTTTTGCCTTCAACATGCCTACCAAATGGGATCCTTTCCCTTCCCTTCTCTAAAATACCTAAGTGGTCTACAATGAGGTTTCAAGAGACATAATTCATGGACAGAAGTTCAAGGTACAACCAAAGGAAAATGCACCTGGACCACTCCGGAGAATCCAAGCTGTGAAGAAAAATTATAAGTATTTTGCTTTGCTTTAATTCATCTCCCATCCCCCCCAATCCCCCAGCCAAACTTGACAAACACACATATAGATATCCACACAGATTTGGTTACACTACACAACAAATATTAGCATGTAATACTCATCTGCTTTATAGGAATAATTGTGCATGAGTCACAGCTACTTAAAAGAAAAGAGGAGAAGGAAAGGATAAGTTGAAGAGTTTGTTATATCATTGAATGATCATGGAAACATAAAAAGTTGAAGTAAAATAAAATTAATAATTAATAAAACCTCGTTCTAGTTAAAAATAAAAAAATGGCTGACGCTATTTTATCTTTATCACTCAAGGATTATAGCTCAAATACTTCAACAGACAAATACTATCCTTTTCACTTCTGCATTTATAAAAACATTTATGTATCAATTTTTCAAATAATTAAGGGAAAAGGAGAAAAAGAAAAAATATGTCAAAGGCTTTGTTATATGAGCTGATAATAATGGAAACATAAAATGCAACCTGGTGCTTGTTAAGAACCCAAAAATGCTTGGCTCAAGGCCATGACCAAGTCTTCCAGATGCTACTCCTCCCCAACTTAAGGCCTCACCTCCATCTGGTGAAGAAGATGGAAAATGAAATACAAGTTTTACTCCCTAGCATGCATACTCTGTCAAAAGCATCTACAAAACAGCAATTGTAGAAAATAGAATTATTTGTTGCAAGGCTTTTCCAGTTTCAAACCAGTAACAGCAACAGTGTGCTCTGAACCCAAAGCTGCTGTCTTAATTGTAAGCCCACTCAAGCATTCTACTTTGGTTGGAACATGAACCACTTTTGCAGCCTCTGTAAGAATAATATACCATCCAATGGAAACAAGTGAGAAAATGCTTATTATGCAACAATGCTTTCAAACATCAAAATAAAAGAATGACAAGTAGGCAAACATAACAATGTAACTTAAATAACATAAGTATTCCCAAAATAAAAAATTAAAAAGGAGCACATTTAGCAATTACTTTTTCCAAGTCCAAGCTGTCCACTTGAGTTCTTCCCCCACATGTAAAGCTCCCCATCCACTACAGATCATATCCAAGTTGTTAAAAAAGAATTCAGAAGATCAAGTCAGTAGCAACAACATAACACAATGACCTTTTAATGCAAACTACACATGAATGCTTTAAAACCAAAATTAAAAAAAAATAAAAAAGAATTGGGCAGTCAGAGAGAGGAATAAAATGAAAAAAAAATATTGCCAAAAGATGCAACGTTAGGATTATGTATGTGTATGTCTAGAGAGCCACATGTGAATGCATCTCATCTATGTATTATTTGGTAAATTATTGTAGAATGAGATGTTTCATACAGAAATGATGAGACACAAAATCCTCACCTTCATGCAAACAGTAGGTGATAAAGTGTGCACGTATGTGCCTACCTATCAATGTGTATATGTGTGCACAAGCGCAACTCTATTAGAATATTATGCAAGACACAATACCTGTAATAGCACAAGAGTGATGATAACCAGCAGAAATTTGCACAATTTCCTTTGTAAGTCCTGAAACTTCAATTGGCTCCTAAAAGAATAAAGCAAGTTAATAAATTAAACAAAAAACCTTCAAAAGTTACAACTATTACATTCTATATTGACAGGCATCATAGAAACGTTTGAAATCTAGTGCATTCCAATATTTCACTTGTTCTATAAATACTTTACAATTATTATTCTGCAACAAAAATTCATAGGCAGCCAAAATCCATATTCTGTTATTCATTTCAAACCTGAGCGAAGAGCTCTGACAGGGTCTTGCTTCTGATAAATGACCAGCATTTCAAGTTCAATTTTTCATAGGCAATAACAATAACAAAATTCTAAATGCCCTATCTTTCTGCTTATGAGTTACTCTGTTAAGCAATTAATCACATGATTCTACAACCTAAATTCATTGGGGAAAAAAATCATTCTCATGATCGCACAAACAAATAAACTAGAATAAAAGATGGAATAATCTTACTGGAGTGTAATTCATAGAGTCTGACGAACCTAGCTGTCCAAAATCATTGAGACCAGTGGCATAAACCCTCCCACTTTCTGTCAAAGTAGAAAGATATTAACTCGTGAGTGATCGAAAACACAATTAATCACAAATTGAAGTAACTATCCAAAGAGCGGGATATAATTCAAAAAAAAAAAAAAGAACCTGTTAAGAAGAGAGTATGGGCGCCACCGCAGGCAACGGACTTGAGGCTTTGGTCCTGAAAGGAAGAGCAATGGATAGGCTTAGGTCTCCATTGAGAGTCCAAAGTTCCAACACCCAACCGCCCATAATCCCCATTCCCCCACACCGCAGCAAATCTCCTGGTGGGCTCTCCCGAGCCTGACGAACTTAAACCTCTTCTCCACAGTAAGAATTCTAGCTCTCCACTCATGAATTTGGTTTTTCTTAGGGAGTTTCTCCACATCTTGTTTTCCCGATGGTTCTGCCAGTGACGAGTTGCAACGTCCTCGTTGTACTCTTTTCTCAACAAGGAGTAGGGAGAGTCGGTTTGATGGACGAAAAGTTAAGTAGTTAATATTACTTTGGGCTTAGGCCCATTGATTGCTGCTTTTTGACCCTTCCTAGTGCGTGGACCGCCCGACTTCGCTTCTTGGGCTTCTCCTAAGTCACAAGCCAGCCTCATATTTGAACATTTCCACTGATTTTGGTATTTTATAAGAATTTACATTTGATATATTTTCAATGTATAAATTTTATATATTGTCATCTTATTAATTAATAAGTTGAAAAAAAATTTAATCTTCAAAAATTAATACTCATAATTTTAAAGATATTTATTTTGAATAATTTTTAAATTTTTATTTTTACATCTTTATAAGATGACACTTTGTGATTAAGTGATAATACATAAATATTAGACACCGATAATACATCAAACATAAGCCCTTCCTATAATTACTTTTTCAAATTATGATAAAATCAATTGATTTTCTTGTTTATTGATTGTGAATCAATGTCAACTATAGAATTTAATTTTTTAGATAAAAAATTAAAATTAAATATTTTTTAAAAAATAATAAATATTTATATAAATTTAAAAGTTATACATAGTCCATATAATTGTCTCAAATCGACACATGGAATTTACTTATATCCATATTTTAACCAATAAAAAATTTTAGCATTATGTATAAGGATAAGGTATTTTAATTTTATTGTTTATTAATTCTCAATTCTTATAATTTAAGTCCACAGAAAAAGCTAAAAATAGGAATCAAATCTGCCCATAGCAAGATCGGTAGTTGGACATTCACTGAAATTATTGATAATTAGTATTTATTTATTATTTCTTTATGGCTTATGAGTTGGTTGGTGGAAATACTAATTCTATTAATTTATTTAATAATTTCTTGTGGGCGTTAACTCAGAATGACTTTTCTATTTGAAATTGACATGCCTTTTTATTATATTGTTTTCTTTTTATATATTTCCCAAAGACAAAAACCGTGACTGCACCCTGTTGTTTTGCTTCTCAAAGTTTGCTTTATCCACAACAGTATCATATGGCATATCACCACTTTCATCTGCATAGTGCAGAAGATATGAAGATCCAACACAGGAGGGAAAGGAAGAGGGGGCGGGTGCAATGCTTTTGTCTATATGCAGTAGCATAATGACAAGTAGCACTAAATGCCTTTGCCCCATTTTTGCTTTTATCTCTCTGGCAGCTTGCTGCTTGAGAGTATTACCAGACCTGTGTCCTTAGACCTTTACCACTATTTCTGCCTGAGTTAGATCCAATGTCCTTTTCTTTCACAGAAAATCTCATCTTTGATTAATACCATATTTGATCTTTTTAAGTATTCATTTGAATAATGTTGAAAAAGATATGAAATGATGCTTGAGTTGATCTTAGTATAGTTAAGTGTCCAATGATCTTGCCAACAAAATTAGTTAAAGGGTTAAAGCCAGTAAATAAAGCACTTAGTGGTGCACTTCAAATTGTGTGTGCAGGCCGCACCAAGGGCTCCACTTTGTGCATGGAATTCCAGTGGCTATAATTGAGGTAAGTGGCTTGTTCGTGTCATTGGGTTGGTGTCGTACGGGTTGTCATGGATCCTTGAGACATCCTTGTCATTGGTTGAACAAGGTTCAGAAACACACCCAGTAAGCTATGCCTCCCTTTGGGTTATTTTCTGAGTAAAATGTCCTAAACAGAGTAGGGTTTCTGTTTTAAATTCAAAAATAAAGGTAACCACCCTGGCATCCAAATGCTCACATGCATGAACTTATCTTCAATAAATGAGGACAAAGATGATATTCGTCGGCCTGCAATTCAAAAAAATTCAATGGATATACCATCAAGGGTTATGAAAAGTTCAATATCTTTTGTCTACTCTGAATGCTAAGCTATGCTATGGTGACTAGTAGGTTTAAAATTTAGAAGGAGAGAAGAGGAATATTAATTGTAGATTCACGTGAATTAGAAAGGACAAGTGTATGTCACTTTGCCAAACTTTTTGTCTGGTTTCGAATGCGGACAAAGCAAGCCTTATGCACACCAGTGATCACTATTAGTAGTGGAAGACCAAGATAGGGACTTAGTAAAAAGGAAGATTATTAAATCGATCATGTGTGCCTTCTTTCTTTCTGTAGTTCCTAACAACAAAAGGAATAGTGGTCTCTTGTTAATTTATCTTCCTCATTTCACCTCTTCTTTTTAAGCAAACGCCACTAGTGGTGGATGCAAAAAGGGAGAGGCGTCGGCGGTTGGGTTGGATTCTAGCGGGAAAAATAGGACCCTCATTCTCAATAAGATTCGTCGTTTGTTTTATAATAGTGAAAGGTTGGTGGAGGGGTGGCGCAGGACAAACTAGAGCAAAAACAAGCTCATCCCAATTCCAAACTTTTTATTTCATTCCTTCTTGCCTTAAACAAACCTCTAGCTAGGTACTAGCTGGAGCCTGGAAGTACTCAAGCCTTCTCTTTTGTGTGGGTTAGCTGGAGTTGACCACTGATGACTATGGGGACGCAGGGTTTACTGAGTGGTGGGAAGAGGAAGCTCTTGGTCTTGTTGTGCATATTGGAGGTTTTCTTTATACAGATGACTTCCATTAGCGCTGGCAGAAGCCGCCCATCTACCCAAAATCTGCAGGTTCAAACCCAATTGAACCTCCTGAACAAACCAGCTGTCAAATCTATCAAGGTCAGAATTCTGGTTGCTCCGATGTATATGTATACTCTAAATCATACGTCTTTTGATGTAGTATTTGAATTCAGTTGGTCGGGGTACCCCTCTTGATTTCTTCTATTGATCATTTGGTTTCTCTTCCATGCCACTTCCTTGCTTGTGCCTGCCCTTAAATTAGTATGACTAAATGGTTGTGAACTGCTACTAGAGTGCAATTTCAGGCGTAAACTACATTACTAAATTATTCCTATTTATTAATCCGCTGCTTCATGTGCGTGCCTTGAACAGAGCCCAGACGGGGATATAATCGACTGCATCAAAATCACCCATCAACCAGCTTTTGCTCACCCTTTACTCAAAAACCACACAATTCAGGTGGATTACTCCTCTTTTAGAACACCATATTGTCATATGAAGTTTACTTTAAAAGATTTCTTGCATAGTCTTCTAAAGGTGGTCTATTTCTGTTAGTACAGATGACACCAAATTTTCACCCGGAAGGTGTTTTTGGTCAAAACAAGGTTTCTTCAGGGATGAAGAAAGGATCAAGGACCATTACCCAGATGTGGCACTTGAATGGAAGGTGCCCACAAGGTACCATTCCCGTAAGAAGAACTAAAGAAGATGATTTGTTAAGAGCAAGCTCTATCAAAGCATTTGGTAGGAAGAAGCACAGAAGCGTCCCTCAACCAAAGTCTGCAGATCCTGACCTCATCAGTCAAAGTGGCCATCAGGTAGTATTATTTATAAGCATTTGATCAATCCCAACACACACACACACACACACACACAGAATTGAACTGGTAATCTTCAATTGATATGTGCTATATATGTTCTTTTTCCTCTCTGTTCCGGGGCCTCTAGCATGCAATAGCTTACGTGGATGGAGATAAGTATTATGGAGCTAAGGCAACCATGAACGTTTGGGAACCCAAAATACAGCAATCTAATGAATTCAGCTTGTCCCAAATCTGGATCTTGGGAGGTTCTTTTGGCGAAGATCTAAACAGCATTGAAGCAGGTTGGCAGGTACCTAAAACAGCTGTTTCCCTTTATTTCTTGAATGAGAACCGGTCTTAGATCCAAATGTTTAACTCATTCGCCTGTGTCTTGTGTCTAAATAAATAGGTCAGCCCAGATTTGTACGGAGATAACAACACTAGACTCTTCACTTATTGGACTGTGAGACCCAATGTTACTATTCACGAATCCTTTAATGAAGCTTATTTAACTGCTGTCTGTTGTCTAACCCTGTTTTCTTTTTTCTTTTTTGGGCAATTACTAAAACAGAGTGATGCATATCAAGCCACTGGTTGCTATAATCTCCTCTGCTCGGGCTTCATTCAAATCAACAATGAAATAGCGATGGGTGCTAGCATCTACCCTATTTCTAAATATCAGGGTTCCCAATATGATATAAGTATACTTCTGTGGAAGGTAAGAAGTAAGAAGCCATTATACAAAAAGAAGCGAATTCTTAATTGAAATAACTTCCCAAAACGAAAAACCTTCAAAAAGCAGTTGGAGGAAATGAAAAAGGAAAAAGGAAATCATACACAACCCATTGACAAACTTCATAATAAGACAAAGAAATGCTGGAAGTATGCAGACAGTTCGATGTACTCACAATAAATAAATGCTCATAAATTTGCTATTTATTACCTCCACTTCATTTGTAAGTAGTTTGTTTGACAAAATAGCATTACCCTATATAACGTACTACTTGTGTTCATATTGATCTTGCATCCATGCATTATGTTTCCATGTCTTTATCCCCAACCAATTTTGACCTCCAAAATGATTCTAAATTTGTGCACAATTGGGTGAAAAATGCGGCAGGATCCGAAGGAAGGGAACTGGTGGATGCAATTTGGTAACAACTATGTGATGGGTTATTGGCCAGCCTTCCTGTTTTCCTACCTGGCTGACAGTGCTTCTATGATTGAGTGGGGAGGAGAGGTTGTGAACTCAGGATCTGATGGACAGCATACTTCCACACAAATGGGTAGTGGCCATTTCCCCAAAGAAGGTTTTGGGAAAGCTAGTTACTTTAAGAATATTCAAACTGTTGATGGATCCAACAATCTCAGGGCTCCTAAAGGCATTGGCACTTTCACTGAGCAATCCGCCTGCTATGATGTACAAATTGGGAAGGGTGGCAATTGGGGCAGCTACTTTTACTTTGGTGGTCCTGGTCGAAGCCCGAACTGCCCTTAATCATGAATGAAAAAGAATATTCATGAAGCCTAGTGCGTGCCCCCTAGGTTTAGAGTAGTAAACTTGTGAATCATGTTTTCACCCTCTAGCTAGTAGCAATACAGTTTATGTCGCCCTATTAAGTCCACCCCCTAAAATTTGTTGTGAGACAGGGAGGTAATCCTACCTGCTATTCTTTGTTCGAACATATGAGAGTATATGTTGAATTGCTGCTGGTTTTGTACTTCTTTTTGGACAACTGTAAGAATGTAAACCCAGCCGAACTGTTCTGGAACAGCCCAAAACTTTACCTTGTACGGAGCACGGCTTGAGTTTAATTGGGCATTCAATTAAACAAACAAAGCTCAAGCCATCGTTTGAAAGCCCAAACTTGTCAATGAAGTGAAGTGATCTGGCAGTCAATACAAGCTCAACACATCAATCACCATTCAACTTGGCAAAATTCATGAAATAGAATGAAAAAATCTGGCAAAGTAAGAAATAATAAAAAAGAAACCAAATCCAAACATCAATCTTGTAAAATTTTTAATAGATTTTATCCAAATCCAAATCTATCTTTAAAACTATTGCCACAAAATGCACTTTGAATCTTGAAATCTAAATCCAAAAGCTAGCCTGAATACAGGTTGCTGAAACAGATGAGATTACAAAGTTTTTAACCAAGAGGTAACCCAAGAAAACGTGATCTCAAGTTGAAAGGTAGCCAATAACTGGGTCTTTGTCTCAATCACTCAACACAGGAGCCATTGTTGATTCCTCACGAGATAATTGCATCAAATTAGCTACTAATGAACTTCATGTTACATAAATTGCTGATTCTGATGCTACATTAAATTGTTAATAGTTTCATCAATTGTATAGCAGATCATGCACTTAGACCTAATATCAGAAACAGAAAAAAAAAACACCCTTATTCCACATCACTTGGTTTTCAACCCTCAACACCGTCATGTCAGCACAGCGAATCTTTCAAAGATAAAAGGAAAATGGGTGAAACAAATGGCAGGTAAGAAGGTTTGGGGCCTAGGGGGGGAATGGCAAGATCAAACAAAAATTTGTACAAATCTAAAAGAGAACTTTGAACTTCCAAAACCAGAAATTGTTTTGTTCGTTAAAAGAAAACACAGAATATCTTGAGCATTTAGGAATAAAAGACTTCTAAAAATTATAACAAACTGGAGTTTTAACTGCAAGTCAATGGTCTCAAAAGCATTTACATGTAACCTAGCTTATGGAGGGAGACTTACTCGATTTCTAGTGATGGACACAACCTACATCCTCGGTCTCCATGGCAACGTGTGTTGCTGGTGCTGAGCATGTTGCCCATGAATTGGTCCAATATGTGGCATTGGAGCAGGGGTGTTCATAAAATGTGACACATTTAGACCTAGAGAATTCAACAGGGGAGCAAGAGGTGGTGCAATCCCTTGTGACACATTTAGAACTAGAGAATTCAACAGGGGAACAAGAGGTGGTGCAATCCCTTGAAAACTTGTAAAGTTTGGGGCAGAAGAAGGAAGCATGACTGGACCATGGCATCTCAAGCTATCTAAGCTATGAGAAAGAGGATTAAGATGAGGAACTTCTGCAGCAAAATGAGTGGTTAAACGACCCCTATTTTCACCAAAATTATTCCATTCTCTCCGACCACCTTCCATGAACTGCACTCCTACCATCCTGTCCGAAAGCTGTGGTCCTTTCCCTCGCTTTGCCCCTTTTGATTTATCCAGATCTCCTGTAAAACGTCTCTTCTTTGTTTGATGAGTTCCATGATGAACAACAAGCTCAGTTTTACTTTGATTTTCTGCTCCTAGGTTTTCTGTTAATTTCATCCTCTTTCTTTGATTAGAATCATTGGGAACAGAAAGCTTAGTTGTACTTTTATCCAGATTTGAAGCAACACTATCGCCTACACTGCACAATGTATCTCTACTGAATAGAAGTTCTTTTAGCTTAGTTCCCTGCATCTGGCCATTTGAAAAAGCCTTCAGGTAGAGAAGTGAACGGCAGATGCAGCCATGTATTTTTCCAAATCCTTCTGTTCCAACTGCCCTAGCAACATTTTGAGATTGAACTGTGAAATCCTCAACCTGCCATAAATAAATAGTTATTATACATTTCAACAAATTTACAGAACTAACAGAACATCATATCCATAAAACAAAGTCAAAAAAATAAAGACCTACACTCATAGAGCAAATCCCAGAACCCCAAGCTTTAGATATCCAAGATCCTTCACACAAGCTAACACAAAGCCCTTTCTGCCAAAGTTTTTCAACTGAAGCAAGCTGCAGCAGTGGTAAGAAATGCTAAATCCCTCACTATTCATTATGAGAAATGGAAAAATCTTGTGTCATGTGAAGGACAAATGCCGTTATAATATACGTGGCAGACTAGAAAGCTTTTCCTTTCAATCCTGACTTGCAAATCTTCTAACTTAAAATGGCCCTTACCTTAATCAATAGAGTAACATAAAGCTCAGCCAAGGATTCTGTATTCCTTTTACCATAGTTCAAGTAAATTTGGACCATTTTCATTACAGCTGCAGGATCACTTCCATCTGGAGCATTCCCAAGGCCAGTTAAAAATCAAAGCAACAAGAAAGCCAACAAATATAATTAACTTGCAATGTTATTGCTACATATAATGACAGAATAATGCATGAGGTCAAGGAAAATAAACTACAAGAGAAGTCAGTAAACAGGTCAAATAGTAAGAGAATAAGTGTTGAAAATTATTCACAAGTGCAGCAACTAGTATAGGACAACATATATCTTCGGCAGTAGTGGAAAAAGATTCATCTCACCTGCCAGTATATACATGCAAGCACATACAAATAATAATTATGAGGTTATAAACAACTACATACTTAAAATGGAAAGGGCTTATAAGATACTTCAGAATCTTATTCCAGTTAACCAAACAGCAAGCAGTGACTACGACCCAAACACGAGTAACTATCGACTCATACTACAGAACAACATATTGGCTAACTTACTGTTTGATAAACTGAAAAATCAAATACTGAATTTATAAATTTGCAAAATCTAAGTACTGAATTTATGATATAAAAGTTTTTTGGTCTGCTACTGTAAATTAAATGTTGAATAGATTTTTTATTGAATTATTTTGTGAAAGAGAGAGATGATTTTATAAGTATTTTAAATCAATAAAAGTTGAAAAAGGAAAGAATAAATGGTTAAAAGGAAAGAAATTAATATAATTAAATAACAAAATTTTCCTAAATAAAATTGATGAATACATTGACTAGCTTTTAACTACTTAAGATTTTTCATTGAAAATCTTCCATTAAGTGGTTTCTAAAAATGAATTATCAATGCATTGAAAAAATTAAATCATTGAAATTTTTAATTTTCAACGGTTTATCAAACACACCACACCCAGGCTTCCACCATTCTCTTATTGCTTTGTAAAGCTTGCCTTTTTCAGGTGAGATTTTTTCTTTCTTTGACGTGATTAAGAGATGAATAATTCCAGCTTCCACCATTTCTCAGAGCTAATTTAGTTGAGTTGACAAGTGAATTCTACTTGCTATTCTATTCTACTTAGGCATTTTTTTTTCAATAGTTCCTGAACTTTTAACTATTTCCTGCATTCAAGTTCTTGTTATTCTAACGAATATGTTATCTCTTGATAAGTTGGAGGCAACAGCTTAACCATAACAACTAAATAGCATAGACATATCCATTACAACGAATTACCTATCTTTGTGCATGTCAAAAAGAGAGAATAGGAGGGGAAGAAAGATGACTACAAACCCAACTGAATGGGCAAAAAACCAAATGCGCAAATGCTAATATATGCTAGGCCTGCATATATATCATATGATGTAACCAAGTTTCATTGGGTTGATATAACAATTTTTTTCAAATCCACACTCCCAAAACACCACAATCCTAACTGCTTAATAATGTTAAAAATTGCAATAAACCTTTGTACATATGATCAAACGATATTATAGTGATATTATCCAGGTAGTTTCAGCGTACTCCTAATTCAAGAGTTTGAACCTTTACAGCCAGTTCACTCCCTGCTTTTATTGAACAATAACTTGAAACCAATGTCACATCAAAAACAAGAAAATAATGCAAAAATATGAGAGCCCAAAATTTGCCACTAGTAATACAAGAACATAGAGGTTCCCACAATAAAAGATTGCAAAGTGTTTTTGACTAAACAAAATACTGTCTTCCAAAAGAGAAGGAAATTTTAGTCTATGATACGGATTATATACCGCACCTACAACCTAAGAAGTAAGATAATTCTCATATATAAAATTTGCCAGGTGATCACCTTTTAATAAAGCAGAAAATGGGGGTAATATAGGAGGATTCCGAGTCTGCAAAACCAAAAATTGATAAGGAAAAAGAAAAAAAAAAGAGAAATATATTAGAAAGAAATACAGTATCTAATTCTTACTTCTGGTTTTAACAAAAACCAAAAAAAGAAAGAGGCAGGTGCAATATATGGCGCCTTGGCTTGAGAAGAGACATTATGGTCATATATTGTTCCATTATGAGGAGCAAAAACTAAGAATCCGCCAAATATTCCCATGTTTGCCTAGTTATATACACTAATATCTACAGCATTTTGTTTTAGCTCCCAAGTTCTGCTTGAGATAAAACATCTGATTGCATTCAAGTAAACTAGGAATCTACTAATTTTGGTTTTGATTTGTTGTAATAAATTCTTTATTCTCATGACTGAGCCACCAATTTAGAAGCCAGAAGCACTAGGGACCACATAGACCTTCCACCAAGAGACAAAGAAAATCCCACCAGTAGTGAGCAAGACAGGGTGCCGTAAAAAATGGAGGGTTTTGATTTCCCATTATTTACCAGTCACCCTCTTGTCTTGGCATTACTAACCGCTCAGGATAAAAACCAAGTCTCACATGTTGAACATTCAACATCAAACCAATCAGTCATATGTGCGAAGGCCCAACTTGGACACATGACCATAACAAACTCAAACTTAAAATGTGGAATAACATCATTTCACTCACTTTCTGACGTGCAGGCCCAATACTAACAACTAAAATAAATAGGTTCAACATGTGAACAACAAATAAAAGGTACAAGATGACAGACAAGAAGCAAGGAAACAAGTAACCTGGGCTTTGGTACCATGTCAAGTATAAGGCTCCAGGTCTTTGAGTAGATATAGAGAAAGTAAGATGATATAGAACACTTTCTGTCTCTGAAAATTAGCATCCACAATGAGAATAAAAATGAGCCAAAACGAAGCTCATTTTGTTATGAAACAAAATTTTAACACTTGCCACATACCCTTCCCCTCAGAAGTTTATGAAAAAGGATTTGATGTATATGTGGATCCAAGAAACACAACTGTTAACACCTAGCTTGCCCTTTTGGGGTAAAATCATTGATAGCCATGCATTTAGCCTGTTGCCACTTTAGATATGCAAAACTCGAAATGTTCCTTTGATCATTATATCATTGACGGTAAAAGACTTAAAGTTCTATTATTTAATCAGATAGACAATTTTTGTTTACTAGGAAGAAAACAGTGCATTGACAGCAAATCTGAAAAGGTTGAGTACCTGCAAATGAAAGGCAACCAATGAAATTAATGATAAAGAGTTCAGAGTTCGTTCTTTGGAACTGTTAATATCATGTGCTTTGGCCCAAGCTTTCACCTGCACAAGGAAAAAGAATAAATTATACATTTTCTGCCCACACGCTCTATGACGAGTTCAATAATTCCTCTATTTTACAAATCCTAGAGAAATAAATTTAATAGTTCAGGGGAAATGAACGTGAAACTAACCAAGATGTTACTCCGACTCCACATGATCAATAATTTCAGAAGTGATTTTTCAGAAAATCTTGTCGCTCAAAGCCACATATCACTTCTCATAATGCTTCCATGTACAAATAGCATCATACATTACATTTATCTTTTGAAACTTCAAACGGGAAAATTGCCCATGGCATTATGTCTCTGTTACAAATGCCCAAAAGACAATTTTCTTTTCACTATTTTATCCATTTTCAATGCTCCATTACGAAAAATTATGTTGTTCTTCCACACTAATACGAAAGTTTATAGTCACAACAAAACGTTTATTTAAATATGCCCCACTACTATGTAACTAGGAATTCTAATAAGCTTCAACAAACTACATAAATTTTAAGGAAACAGCAACATTCCTGTTTTAATTTTCACTCAATTTTAGCAGTTTCAATCCTGTAATTTGAATTAGCAATTAAATGCTACCCTGTCATCAGTCTTTGTTAACAAATAGACAATTCTTCATGCATCATTAAGACTCATAGTGTGCACATACAGTTTTAATTTAACAGAATAAATAATCCCTCTTTCTCACCCAGTTCTTGTTCAAATATTTAGTCACTTTCTTATTAATAATCACAAATGACCAGACATGATATGAGATGTATCCTTTCATGCTCGTTTGGATCTCACTTCAGCTTGATATCAAAGATTAACATTGAGAGATTAAAAACAGTTCACATGATCCTTTACATTGAAAAAAGGGGTCAACAGGTTTAGAGAGGAGAAAGAAATCCTATTGCAGTCACTATATTTGAAGTTATAGCTACAACTTGAAAGTACTTAGATTTTCTAACTAATGGGTGCATATTAGCAGTTTCTTAATTTAACACAGCATGTTTGGAACTTGGAAGTTTTATACTATGTAGAGGATGGCCTATGTTTGGCCCAGTCAAAAAGTTGAAATCTGATCATATAACGTGAAACAAGAAGCTTGATGTGGTTCAATGGCTAATAACAAATTAATCAGGCAAAAAGCTTGACATGGTTCAACAGCTAATAGAAGATTCCTTTTCTAGCAACGACTAGCCTTGTCATTAAAGAGAAAGATTGCATCAAAAAACACAGCAGGCTTACTAGCGCCAAGAGTTTCCTAAGGAAAAAGGCAGGAATCAGAAGAATACAAGAATGAAACAATCATAATTAATTTTTCACTCATTCATTTAAAGCTAGAAGAGCCAGAGTAAAATTGTCATCCTACATGAGAACCAACAAATCAAAGTAGCAGAAGAGAAATTCCTTAGAGAACTAGATGTTGAGTTTTATACAAAACTTCTCCACCCAGATAAGCTCTAAGGCACGGTACACTGCAAAGTCATTGGTAAATGCAATGTCCTTAATGATCAAGATCAAAGGGATCAGACTTCTCCACCCAGATAAGCTACCAAGGTATGGAAACTGCAAAAAGTCATTGGTGAATGCAATGTCCTTCATGATCTAGATCAAAGGGAGCTCATCCCATTTCTCCAGATACATAAACCATGCTATATTCTCCATAGATGATGCCCATAGCATAACATTTCATTCAAAAGAAAAAAAAAAAGCCAGTATCTCAATCACTGAAAGTGATAAGATAATTAGCAGCATTTCAAGCTGGACTAAATGTTTCCATACAAGTGAGAGCTTGCAGCTTGTTCAGTCAGTGATTGTGAGCATTCAAAATTATTGGAGCAGTGGAAAACTGTCATTAAGACCATAGAGGATACAGGCAGGATATCCTGTGAAGTATGGAGCAACTCCTCTATCAAAAAAAGATGAGGTCTGGTTGATGGGAACACTATTTGCTCTCCTTAACAATTTGGGGGCTGGAAATTAAGAGAATAAGTAATTGGAAGTCTACAGCAGTTTGAAGCAAGTGTAGAATCTGCATACTATGACAGAATGGCTTAAAAGGATGCACCTAAAGAAAAAAGGACAAAAGCATCTACAGTTTTGAGATCACCAGAACTGTTAGTTGTGCTTGGTATTATTATCCGACACAATTAACCTATTATGAGAAATGGATTATTCTCTAGTTTGCTCTTTGAGAAGGCAGACAGTTTATTAAATCATTAAAGAGTGGTAGTTAATAGTACCTTGGGAATCCATGGAAAAAGTTAAGAAAAACATTAGTTTGTTTAGTTTTATCAGCAAAATTACAGCAAACAGATCTTCATGAAAGTGAGATTAGTAGGATTCTTGGTGAGCTAGGATGAGATTGTTGATTGGATGAATCAGCATTGCAGTGATGCAGATCCAAGGTGTAATATGCTGAAGTCCCCCCCCCCCCCCTGCTTTTTCGGCAGTTGCTGTGTTACAGAATTTGGCAGGAAATGGCACAATCTCTAGGAGTGGTAAGAATCCACAGAGTATTTGACATAAGAGTTTATGATGATAATCATAAAAATTTCAAGAAATTCTAAAGAGATACTTAGACAAGGTATTCAGGCTTGATCAATCCAAGTTTCATTTGTTCTCCTAGAAAAAATATATGGAGAGGGGGTGATATCATTGCAATTTGAAGTTTAGTGACTAATTTGACATTTGGCAGAAAATTCGACAAAAAAAGGTGCTATTTACCTCTAAAATTCAGATCAAAAGGAAACAAAACAACATACTAGAACAGGGCATTTTTTAGAGAAACAATTACAAAATAATAATAATAATAATAATAATAATAACAATAATAATAATAATAAAGGAACTGTTTCCCCTTGAAAGGAGCAAAAATAGTCAATAATGCATAAAAGAAAACTGAAATAAATTGCTGGCGCAGCAAAGATTTTTTTTTTTCAATGACATCATAGAATGAAAAAAGAAAAGTATCAACCACTTTGTGGATGAAGCTGAAAACTGCAAAGGATGGGCTAAAAGTTTGAACTGACTCACCAAAAAACTAAGCTTTTGAAACCTATCATCGATTGTAGAAATTGCGCGAATAATCAGGGATTTTACTATACCATCCCTATTCTCAACCGAGACATCACATTCAATCCTAGTTCCATGATCAATGACTTTAACAATCGGCACCCTAGCAGTCATGATAGTCTGAATGCCACTAACATGACCTCCCCCTAGAACAATAAAGCATACTAATGAGAACAGTTCAAGTACATGACATAAAGATGATAAAACATCTTTCATGATCATCTTCAATTCCAAAAACCAAAAATTTTCATCTCTAATATAAGGATAAAACAATTATCATAAACTAAATGCTCATTTTTCTTTCTTCCAAAGTAGTGGAGGTTGACAATTATATGTCCATTTACCAGTATTTAAATGCCTGAATAAGGAAACAACAAGTTTTCAATATGAATGGAAGGTTGAATAAAATACAATGTATTGTAGATTTTTTAGAAACATATAACACTAAAAGTGGTTATTAAAAGATATAATATACAAAAAAATAGTTATTAATAACTCATACAACTTACGTTGAACTTTGTTTAGATCTAAAATTATTAAAAAGAAAAACAATTTAAATTAAAATTTTTTTTGAAAATAAAAACACGAATGCATTTTGTTTGATCATTGAAAATCCACTTCAACAAACACTGAAGCGTTCTATATATTGATTTATCCCTAAAAAGAATCTAGAATTCCAATCTTATTTCTGATCATTTCTAAAACTTAAATTTTGCGATTTAACTTTCATATTTTATGTTTATCACTAGTTAAATTTATAATATTACTATTATGATTTCAACTTTTTATCATTGTATTAAATATTAATTATATAAAAAACTCATTTTTGCTCCTTTTTTCTTTTTTTTTTTCTTTTATCTTTCATTCTTTTTCCTTTTCTTCCCTCTTTCTTTTTTGTTATTTCAATTGGACTTATAAATTGTACTTGTTATGATGATTTAATTTTAATCATAATTTTTTTTCACTTTCTATTTTTCTTTTTCCTTTTCTTCTTTTCTTTTTTTTTTAACTCCCTTCATTCTTCTTTTCTTCCCATCTGGCCACAAGGAGGGTAAATTTAGCACTTGAAAAAGCCACAGCAGCAGTTGGACCAAGGTCAGCTAATGCCATCAGAAAATGCCCAATAACTATCCCTAGGACTCAGTTTTACTTAAATTCTTTTAGCTATTATTTTAAAAAAGAAAAAGCAATTAAAATCTAGAGAAATAAGACTCATGGAGCCAAAATGTAGTGTTAAACCTAGATTGAGAATCAAATACTTTTTTTCTTCCTCTCTAGCAGCGCCTCAGTATTTACTCACTTCCTCTTATATTCAACGATAATATCAACTTTAGTATACACATGTTCCACGAAAGTAAACCCATTTCAATGCAGCATGGCCAAATCAGGCATCAATCTTACTTTCAAATGTGCCAGATGTATGCAGTAATTCTGCACAAAACTCAAAAGACATGGCTAGCTGCGCAGATATCAACATCATTTGCATCCTTCCTTGTTCTTTGTAAAAAGAGTCAGAAAGAAGTAAACTGGAGGACTTTGACCTTCATTATCTCGTATATTTCTTTTTATTTTTTTCATACTCACTGTAAAGAGAAGTTGGCTGCACCTGAGTCTTTACTCACTTCCTCTCATATTCAAACCAACAATAATATCAACTTTTTTTTTTTTTGATATTGAATAGCTTTTTCGTAAGAGTTAAATTTCTGTGTTGGTCACATGGCAACATGTGTCATCATTTATCAGAAACTTATGCAATCAATTACCCATACAAACATCTACAAGCATGTGATATATAATAATAATAATAATAATATAAACAATTATGCAGTAGAAAAAACATAAAGCATAACTAATATTTCAAATCATAAGTCAGAAATAAAAAAGGAATTAGGGTAAATGAGTGTTGGGAAATTACTTTGAATTGAATATAATTTTTGTGCCAGCTTGCGAAGGGTCTTAATTTTCTTCTCTTTAGGCATTTTGGCTGTATTATCTCTAAAATTGATAGATAAGTCTAGATCACTTTCCGTACTGAATATGCCCATTACAAAAGATCCAAATCCCTCCACAACAGGAGAACCATTACGATTGCCTGAAAGAAAATATAAATAGTCATGAACTGCCATCAGTAATGAAAGTGACCCAAAACTATAGTAATATGTTTTGGGTGATAAATGGATGGCATTCTAACTCTGAAAGTGTGGCATAAGGAATGCCAATTTTAGTGATGATTGAGGTGCCCGCATTTGGCAGTGTGAGCTGGCTGAATAACTAGATGGTGATGTATAACCTATTAAATATGCAGGTTTTAACCAAAATAAGTATGATCTTAGACAACAAACTAGATTTGACCCATTATCAAACTTTTTATCAATTTCAAAACCACAAAAAATTCCTTAATAGGAATTGAACCTAATCCACTTGAAAGTTATGCAATCCTTTAAAGCACTAGAAAATGGACAACAGTTTATGTTCAGTATAGCCTAACTATTAGGAGATGTTTGGTACATGGAGAGTGGATCACTTTATAGGGATTTTAATTGGTGGGAAGGACTTTGCACCATTTGGTATGTGAAGCTGTTAGGAATGTAGCTTCACATGGGTATCAGATTGCAACCGTGGGAAGGAAGGTGATTCCCTTTTGGATTGAAGGGAATGTTACTTTACCATGACTGAGGGAAAGTAAAGTGGACCAAAATGACAAAAAGCCCCCCGACCTGAACTCTCTGGGAAGGAAAGAGAGGCGCCATTTGAGCCTGGTGATGGGAGCAAGGAAGAAAGAGAGAAAAAAAGAAAGAAAAGAAGAAGAGCCCACCACCAGAGTGCAAGGAGGAAAGAGAGAAGAAAAAAGAAAGAAAAGAAGAAGAGCCCATCACCAGAGAGCAACAAGGAAGAAGAGAAAAAATGGAAAAAAAAAA